TAGAAAGAAAAGTTGCTTTTTTTCTAATTTATTATGTTTCAAATAATCAAAGATTACGTACGTGTTGAACCATAATATTATGTTTCGGTTCAATTTATTTAGTTAAATATTGATCAATGAATGAACAATTTTTAATTTTCACAACAATAGATTGACATCAATTTATTTTTAATAATTTTTCTAAAGAATTCAATGAAATATTCATTTGATGATTCTATATTATGTTCGAAACTCGTTGATGATTTTCTTCATTAAATGACAAATGTGATTTCAATCGATCTAAGCGAACTTTTTCACAAAAACAATTCAAATCATCAAAAAAAGTTTCCTCTACTTCTTGACCTTTTTGCTATATAATGTTTAGAGTTTAAACAAAAATCAATGATTTTTCAACTGAATATTACTTTAAATTTTTGTTGAAATTAATCAAAAGCTAGAAAATAATCTTTTATTCTGATCAAATGATTTGAATCATTATTTTTAAAAAATGTTGTCTTTTTTAGCGTTCCACTGTCACGTCAAATTTCAGTTCTTTATTAGCTCACAACTGTCCTTGAATTATGAGAGACTTATTACAAAAAAAAACAAAGCATTCGATGTTCTATCAAAAATATAACTGATTGAAATTTTATTTCTTCATCTAATGACAACATTATTTGACAGATACGTGTATGTTTTTGTGTAGAGTGATCCAAAAGTGAGCCTAGATCTCTCAACGATAGAGCTGGTGGCATGCTGACTAAATGAAAAGTAGGAAGATTCTTCTAGTAACATATTAAAGAGAAAATATTTTCTCTTATCAGTTTTGTTTCAGAGAAAAACAACAGGACTTTCTACACAAAAAGCCGATTCTGTTCTCTTTTTGGTGTGATGTTTTGAACATTGTCTGTTCTATAACTCTTCAGTGAGGTTTTTTTTGATTTAGCTCAATATTTCACTAGCAAATATAACATAATAAACTTTTTTTTGACTGGTAAAAATTTTAGCTACTTCATGAGAGATTTACGCTATAATGTAAAATGTTGAGCGAGGCTATTTTCATAGATAATTCGACTTGGATCAACTCAAAAGAATTTTTTTCAAATAAAATTAAGTTCTTCAGCATAAGACGTGCTAATCTGTAGGTCATATGATTTTATTGACCACTTATTATCCTTGTCATATTGGTAAAATGGCTCGAGTCTTTTCTATATGTCGGGAAACTTTTATTGTTTACTACAAACATAGAATATCATAAAACACACTGCTCAGAAATTATTTTATCCTACTATCATTTTTCGCGCTAATCGGATCAAAAAGTTACAATTCATTGATATTTGTCTTTCTAAATATGATGTGTTTGTATGCATCATTCTAACAAACTATATCGATTTTGTTAATTCAAAATTTTGAATACAATAAAGAACGGGAGAGTTCTCTTCAAATTGATTTAACAATCGAAAAGCTCATAGTAGTCTTTCATACATGCCTAAACTCATTTTGTATGTCTTTAAATCAAGGACTTATGAGTATGTCATGATCGCTCCTACCAAAACTGTCATTATTAATAGTTACCTTCTAGAAAACTTTCCATCAAGATATTATTTTGTTCAGAAAGGGTGGGGTGGGTGTGGTTATGGGTGTGAGTAAAGAGAAGTATGACACCCACACCCACACCCATACCCGGTCCTGAGAGCATGGCAGGGCCGAAATTTTTTTTATGAGTCATTGTCAGGACAGTGCGGAAAAAAGTGCCCTATGACGGTCTCTGCCAAGGAGGTCAATTCAATATTTATTGTTGATTCCGAAAGGACATCTCAAGAGCAAATCAATAGGATGAAACTTTTCATGAAAATGACTTGCCATTCTGTCTTGCCGCACAAGATAAGATAGGACGGCCGCACAGTCCTGTCCTGTGTTCATCTCTGATTCATACTTAGGTTTCAGACGATTAAATACTTCCATATCGAATCAGTGCTGATGTAGACATAATTCGAAAATAAGATGCATATGAGATAGACATGAAGTCAGTGATTTTTATTTGTCAAAATATTATATATTTATTGACGCAATTACATAACAACAAAAATTCATTTAATCAATATTATTTTGTAAATAAAGTTGAAATGAAAATTGTTGTAGAAATAAATCTTTTTCTGTCATGAATTTCACTGCTATTGTTTCTAAATGATTAAAAAAATTTGAATTATGTGCAAGTTCATGACATGTTAATATAAAATAAAAATTAATAATATTATGTATTATTGGTATAGATGGTGATATTGATTGTAAATATGGTTGAACTTTAGCAACAAAAACTTGTTCATAATATTGAAGATTAAAAAAATAATGCACGGTGATCATTAAATGCAATACGAACTGAAAAATAAAAGAATATAAAAGATATTTTATTTGTTTTTCTTATTTTATTTTACCTTCATGAATATCTCGATAAAGATGTAAAGTTTCAATAGGTATTTTAAAAACGTGTTTAGCAAGACCGATTAAAACTCAAGCTAATTGTTTCGCTTGGTCGAGCATTTTGTCTGTAACAAGAACATTTCTTTCAACATATAATGGTATTGAATGAAATAATTCTTTATAATGTGTCATATTAGCTAATGGTACAGCTTCACATGAATGATCAATTTCATTTTTAACATGTTCTTGTTGAATAAATTTTGTTTGTGTAAATGCACGACTTTTTTTTAACATAGATAATAATTTTGTTTCATCTTTTAGTTGATAATGACTAAAATCTTCTACATGACCAGTCATTTCTACATGACTTTCATGATAATGATGATTTGTTTGTGATTGTTATTGCTGTTATTGTTGAATAATTGGAATAGTCGAACGAATATATTGATGATTTTGTTGAAGTAAACGATCAACAGGTACATCACGATGTTTAAGTGTTTCTAATGGTGATGCAAATTTATCACTTATTGTATGTACAACTGTATCATGTGATTTTTTTGAATACAAATCGAGCTAATTCACTAGCTATATCAATATAATCAAATTCACGAATATGTTTTTGAAAATATAATGAAACTTTATTTTTATCATATTCAAGAGAACATGAACTGCTATCAGTTGACTAGAATAAAAGATTGATTGAAAATGAGAATAAATATTAATGAATAACTTACATCAAGTGTAATAGTCTTTTTTTGAAATGTTAATTGACATTGAATACCATCGACTTCATAAGCAGATAAATTTCTTTGTAACATATCAACATGTTTATCATCGAGATTTTCCATTTTTTCACCCTAGAATAACATAACAATCAGAATTTTAGACAATTAAGTTTTATTCGGAAATTATATTGATTATTCTTTTTTTTTCTCTAGCGGTTATTTTATAGAGATGAGATTCTAAAGTCATTTATCTATGCGAAATTTTCTTTATTAATGGACGAAGATCGAGACGAATTGACTATTGTATGGGACAGTTTGATGTGATGCTTTTCCTTAGTCTGTTCTTTAAGAAACAACTTCATTATGCAATAGCTAAAGCCTACACTCTAAAAAATAAGGGTTCTGTCGGAAACCCACCAAAATGGGTTTCCGAGCATTCGAAAACCTAATTGAGTTTTCGGACTGATTTCGGAAACCCTTAAAAGGTTTTTCAAGAATAAAAAAATGATTTCCGTGGTCCGGAGACCCTTAAAGGGTCTCATATAGTGACAAATATCGGAAACTTCCAAGTGTTTCCGGAAAAAGTGATCCGTTTTCGAAGATCGGAAACCGTTAGGGTTTTCCGATATTTGTCACTATATGAAACCCTTTAAGGATTTTTGAACCTCGGAAACCCCTTTTTTATTCTTGAAAAACCGTTTAAGGGTTTCCGAAATCAGTCCGGAAACCCAACTAGGTTTCTGAATGCTCGGAAGCTCATTTCAGTGGGTTTACGACAAAACTCTTATTTCTTAGAGTGTGTCTTGAGAATGTTTATCGTTGCATCAGTCTGAGAACTCACTGTACATAAGGATAAAATGATATCTTGACAGAACGTAGCTAATTATCTTTGAAACTATATATGATGAATATTGTTTTCCGCAAATGTTCAAAGAAAAACTGAATTCATATAAATAGAAAGAGGAGAACAACCCACTAAATTTTTGGATGTGAACTGTTTAAATTTTTCTGTCTAAATATCACAAACCTATTCAAAAGAGCGTTAGATATTGCAAATCTTTTAGAAAGTGATCTCTCAAAAATCGGAAAACATCGTTCATGAAACTTTAAGTTGTCTGCTATTTTATGCAATGTCAAACGCTCTTTTGACTGTCATATTTGGAAAGAAAAATTATTCACTATAAAAAAAAATGATAAACAGTTCACATGAGTACTGTCATAAAATAGCCACAATACTTCATAGACATTTTGCTTTTAAAAAGTTTTAGTTATCAAAATATAGCGTGTGTTCTCCTCTTTCTATTTATATAGATTCAATTTTTCTTCGAACATTTGCAAAAATTAATAACTCGTTCAACAAAAGTTGACTACAAAATGTAATATGTCCAGGTTCACTATAACTCAATATGAAGAGGCGAAATTTTCTGTGGATATAGTATAGACACTAACTGTACTTTTGACACAAACTACCCGTCAAAAAGCAGCTTTATGACGGAGTTATACTCAAAACAACATCGTCCAATAAATATTGCCCGTTTATTACAAGGGAATCCATCCAACTGATACCCTTCGTTTGAGCTCTTAAGTAGGACCCAGCGAGACTAGAAAAAGTCTAGAACGGTAAGTACCATTAGGCCTTTCCTCAAGAGTTATACCCGTTTTATTGGGATTTTAGCTTATGGAAGGGTAAGTACAGGAAAATCGACTGACGATATTTCGATCTGAAATTTTTGGCATAGATAGATCTAATCGTATCTAGCGTATCGTAAAAATATCAGCTCAAACGAATGTCTCTATCACAAGATACTGAATTTTCAATGACAAAAGATTCGCGAAAATCATTTTTTTGGAAATTCAGTATTTCATAATGGAGATAATTGTTTGAGCTGAAATTTTTAGGACATGCTAGATATGATTAGACCTACCTATGCGCAAAATTTCAGATCGAAATATCATCAGTCGATTTTCCTGTACATACCTTGCCGTAAGCTAAAATCCCAGTAAAGCGAGTATAACTCTTGAGGAAAGGGTGTGGGTGGGTGTGGGTGTGGGTGTGGGTGTGGGTGTGGGTGTGGGTGTGAG